CTACTCAGCTTAATAATAATAATATTAATAATACATTTTTGAGTAGCAAAACATAATATTAGAATGATTTCTGAAGGATCATGTGACTGGAGTAATGATGCTAATAATTCAGCTTTGAAATCACAGGAATACTTTTTTTTAAATACTTTTGATCAAATAAATGCAGGATTGGTGAGCAGAAAAGACTTCTTTAAAAAACTTTAAAACTCTTACTCTTCAAAAACTTTTGACTGGTAGTGTGTGTGTGTGTGTGTGTGTGGTAAAACCAATTACTAACTGTTTTCAGTACTCATATACAGTAGTATACATAAGATATTTAAGACTTTTTAAGGCCTTTTATTAGGAAAACGTTATTTAAGACTTTTTAAGGACCCGCGGACACCCTGGACGCAGGTGATGTGCGCATCTTTCCCAGTACCACCTATTCTATTGCAGCCTATTTAATACCTGCTAAACACTACCATAATATTCTGCTGCTAAGTGCAACCCTAGCTAACCTGTTTCCCAGTAACCCTATTAGTAATTGGACTATTACCAGTAATTCATCTTGCAAATAATTAACCGAAAATAAGCTGGAATTAACAACGAAAACATTTGTTTGTCATATAATTATCCTTAAGTCAATCTTATCTCCATCATGTACCACTGTCATGTTTCCTCTTTTCCTCCTCTTGCTTTTTTTCCACTTCTGGCTGCCAGATGGATAAGTCCTCTTCATGTTTAAATTAGCAAATGCACGAGTAAGCGCTGTGCCAGTTTGAAAACGGCGGCCGACACATCACGTGGAAAAAGCAAGAACATCCAGCGTAACGCAAGAGGGGGCCCCCTAGGGGGGGATGCAGATATATTGCTCCATGTTATATTAATAATGACATTTCCGATTGTTCAAATGGTCAGCTGTCGGGGGCCCCCTCAAAATGCGGGGCCCCAGGCAATTGCCTGCCTTGCCTGCCCTATTGCTACGACTCTCTATGGCAGTGGTTCTCAACCTTTTTTTCCACTGGGCCGCACTATGGTCCAAGTGCAAGTCTCACGGGCCGCACGCATATCATTTACATATTATGTCACCAATACAAACCAACCAGATTTATAATAGCCTGTTATAGAGTAAATATTATGATATCTAATTGATTACATTAATTGAAATAAATAAATAAATAATTATACTCACCGTTAATAAAACACCTGATGCTGTTTGCTGATTGCTGATGCTCGAAAGGAGTAACAGCACAATGAAGTTGCGATTGTAAGTTGCAGTCTGTAACAGCACAATGAAGTTGCGATTGTAAGTTGCAGTCTGTAAGACGTACACGGAAACGTGACTTGACACGCAACATTGCAGAAAATGTGCGTTTGCAAATGTAGCCTATGTTTATCCAAATATGGAAAGCACTTTCGAATTTAATAATCTGAGGTTCTCTCCAGAGATGTTTTGCCACATTTCAGCAATTAAGGATGATTGCTGCATAGTATGGGTGTTTCCTTTTGCCTGAACTAGAGCCCTGCATTTCAGCCCGGGCCCAATGGGCCCCGACTTTTTTCGGGCTTGTTTTAGGCTTCTCCTTATTTTTATATTTTAGACATCCATCAATTAGTGATGAAAAAAATA